TTACGGGAGATGTTACGGTCTCATTAGGAAATCATTCCGTCGGGGTTTGTAACCGTTCGATCAACTATCCTCGACGGTTACATGATGATTTAACGGTTACAAACTCTGACGGAATAGTTCTGTAACGGGACCGTAGCATTTCTCTGATTTTGTTGGTTAAGTGGTCTTAGAGATATTGTTAGGCAAAAACCAAAGAATAATTATGAAAATAATCATTTTTTTTTTGTATGAGGCGGTATAACTTTGCTTTGGCATTGATATGTCATTTTATTTTAATAATAATACTAAGGCTTTGTTTGGCAATCAGCTGTTAGTTGTTAGTAGATTGTGTTAGCTGTTTTGACCAGCTGATTATATTAGCAGTTTATAAAAAAATGTTTCGTAAATTTACATGTTTGTTGCTAGTTATATATAAAACTATTTGTAATATACTTTAATATTTTTTTAGGTTATAATCATAATCACCTTAAAATATAGATTATTTACATGTTTAAAAAATTGAAAATAAATTAATAATAATATATTGGTAGAAATATAATTTTCGTGCCTTGAGCATTTGAAATGAAGAGTCAAGAGTAACTAAATAAAAGATTTAAAATAAATAATGACATATTTTCATGCTATAATATTGTTATTTACAAATAGGAAAGAATAAATACTTTACACTCAACACAAAAAAATAAAAAATAAAAAAAAAAATGAAGATTTGATAATGTTCAACATTTTCAAAAATATAAACTAATTAACACTTTACATTCCACACAAAAGGAAGAAAAAAAAAAAAAAAAAAAAAAAGGGGGGGCGTGAGTGTATAATTTCCAAGCATTTCAAATCATATAATTTCATGTCCAAATTATAAAAAAACTAATGTGAAACGCTTGAAGGAGCATTGTTTTCAAATTTGGCGTTTTGGATAAAAAAGCTGCTTCCATAAGCTATTTTACCAAATATCTGTTTTTAATTGGTCAAATTGTCAAACAAGCTAATATTGATCAAAAAGCTAAAAATTGGCCAAAACGTCATTATCCAAACAAGGCCTAAGAGTGATATGAGTTGGTACGGTTCGAAAATTGAGACAATTTTCAAAATTGTACGGAAGTTCGAAAATCACTAAAATTTGATATTCAAAACCGTACCAAAAAATCAAGACGGTTCGGTTCAGAGATTTTCATTTTTCGGTTTGGTTCAGTTTGGTATTTGGGACTTCGGATGTCCGAAGATTTCTAATTCATTTTTAAATTTATTTGAATGACTATCTAATTCTATTTTAATTTTTATATGTTTTTTTTTAAAAAAAAAATCGAACAATCATCATAATAGTGAAATGGACTTCGCTCGGTGTTGGTTCGAGCTAATACAACGATGATCTATTTTCTTATATCTCGGACGACCTCTAAACCTACAAGAACTCAACACAAAAAATGGGGTTTCGTTGAAGAGTCTCCGACGTCTAAGTCAGTAGAGAGATGAAGATGATGAATAATAACAAAATATCTAAGAGTTTATAGAAAATGTAAAAATGTGACTAACCTACCACACCGGCCCTTATATAGGGATGTGGTCTCTTGCTCTCCAAGTGTGCCCGGAGAGTTGACCCTGTTGCCTGAGTTGTTTGTCCATACGGTGTACTGGGTTGCTGGCATTCAAACTTTGTTAGTGTGCAGAAGATCCAATCTCGTTGCAACACGTGGTCTAATCCCTTTATCGCGCTATCCCCAAGTTAGATGCTCTTTTTGTCTTGTTCGTGGGAGCTGGTCCACATCACCAGGTAGAACATATATTAGGTAGAAACACATTCTTCTCCAGCTACACTATTGCTCATGAGGTCGAAACAGGTCCCTTAGGTCGAGCTCGATCTCTTAGGTCGTGCTCGGTGCTAGTTCATCTCGTGGAGTACTGAGCAGCTCCTTTCAGGTTAACACATGCTTGGGTTTTCCCTTCAGATCAGATCGATCTCTAATCATGGCTCAAGTTGTCGTGTTAGTCCAGTCTAGCTGGTTTCATCAGTCCAGTAAACCCTTAGTAGTATCTCATATCATATCAATACTCCATCATGTTAAAGATTTTATTTTAAATTTAACTTTAGAAATAACTTTAAATTTTAATTAAGACTAAATTTGTGCAACTAATAATGAAAATTTAAATTCAAATAACATATAATATAATTTTTTTCTTAAAAAAGATACTTTTACAATCTTTCAAACCGTTTTAATTATAATATTGAGTAAGAAAGTATCAATAAATTCAAGTAAAGTTTAAATATTTTTTGAAAAAATATTTCCTTAAACTTTTATGTCATTTTAAATATTATTTTTTTAAATAGAAAAAATTAAACTATAGTTTAAATATTAGTAAGCATGAAATTTAAGTGAAACTTAAATGTTATTACTAGATTTTATTTGCATTTAAAAATTTTGAAATTATATAAAATCAAAGTTGACATAAAATATGTTAATAACACACATCTAATGTTATAATTTGGTTCTTACTTCATGTTCTTCATTTCGTTACGTTACGAGATGGTTCAGTTGGGTTCTCGGTACAAATATTCAAGAAATCTTTAGAACCGTACCAATTATTTTTCCGGTTAGGATCGGCTCAGAAAAAGTCAAACGACCAATGATTATTTTTCAGTTCGGAGTGATTTCAGTTAGATTTTTGAAATGGTTTGGAATTCTCGGAGTCTCATGCTCAGTATTAATAACACATATACTTATGCTTATCTCACTACAAAAAAAATATTAATCAACGGGAAATCATTCGATAATATATTCCAATTAAGATTTCAACGGATATCTCAATGGTATACCTTCCGTTGGAATAATTTTTCTATTGGAATTTTAGATGGAATTTGATAATTCTAATTACTATTTTTCCAATGGTTTTTTAACATAGGAATTTCCGTTGGAATTTGCAATTTCCGTTGAAATTTTTATTTCCATCCCTACAGAAAAATCTACCGTTGAAATCGTCAAAATCCAACAGAAATTCTAATGGAAAAATCAGTCTAGTGAAATATTTTCGGTGGAATTTCTATTGGAATCTATTGAATAATTGCAACAAAAATAACATTGAAATATTCGTTGGAATTGTCGTTGAAATTCTCCGTTGAAATTTCACCATTTTTTTGTAGTGTCTATTGAAAAAATATAGCTATCTAACATTTTATGTTAAAAAACTAGTTTTAATTGGTTTAAGAAATTATTAGTTGGTATAATTCAATAGTATGCATATAATATTTTGGTTGCATATTCATTGAGGTAGGATTGAAATATTTTTGTTTTCTTTCTCTTTTACTTATTTTGGAAGAAATATAATTAATAAACAAGGAAAATGGGTGATATCTTTGTGGTGCATGATTTTTGAGTGAAAACTATTAGTTCTAGTTTTGGTAAATGCTCATTTGATATGATCTATTAAACATGCTAAAATTTCCTCAAACCTCAATTGTCTATTGAATATCTCACCATATTAATTGTATAATTGCTTGGATGAAATTTGTAAGTTTATTTTGTTCCATTGTATTATACATGAATTAATTATTAATCTTTAGTAGTATCAATATGATACTTGTCTAATTAGTTTTAGAATTAATTATTTCTGTTAAAAAAAAGTCATTATTTGATTTATCGAATTATTGTGAGGCCCACAATATATGCATCTCCTGTGTGAATAGAGTAATGGAAATAAATAAAAGTAAGAGGAAAATGAATTACCATAATAATAATAATAATAATAATAATAATAATAATAATAATAATAATAATAATAATAATAATAATAATAGTAATAATAATAATAATAATAATAATAATAATAATAATAAATATATCATATGGACTGGACAATATGGAACGATGTAGTAGGGGCGAGCAAAACCGAGCCGAAATCGAAAACCGCACCGAACCGAGCTATTCGGTGCGGTTTTTTGTAAGTTCGGTTATCGGTTTGCGTTTTGAAAAACCGCAAGTATTTCTGTACGGTTCGGTTTTTTGTCCGAAGGGTGCGGTTTTGACCGAACCGCACCGAATGTCATAAAATGTCACTTTTTTTTTATTTTTTTAATAAAATATCACCTTAATTTTATATGTTTACTTACATAACATTAATTGGTGGTTATATTTTTAAATTTCGGTTAACCGAAAAACCGAACCACACCGAACCGAAATTTTCGGTTTGGTGAGGTTCGGTTTTTCCTTCTATTGCAGTGCGGTTCGGTGAATTTTTTTTATAAATTTGGTTTTCGATTTTCTTCGGTGCGGTGCGGTTTTTGACCGAACCGCACCGATGCTTACCCCTACGATGTAGAAGGACTTATTGGAAGATTGATACAAATGTGAATTATTTGTGTCGGGTTTCCACATAGTCATACATCTAGACTTTAAGACCTCATTTAGTTTGATAGATAGGATTAGACAATTTAATCCAACTAACTTTACACGCCAGAATCCCGTCAAACGTTTACTTCACGGGATGAAATTTTGGTAAAGTTATTAAATGACAAATTTACCCTTGTGAAGAAGAGTATCCATGCAATTGTTTCAATCTGCCCTCATCTCTTTTCACAAGAGCTCTAATGCGAATTTTTTTCTTGTCTGCCATTAAGTACTTAGCAATTTCTACCCCTTAACTTCACAAAAAGAGATTCGCCCCAATTTCCCAATCCACACACACTCAAGCAGACTTACAAAGTCACAAATGGCGGAAGAAATTAGAGCACAAAATCAGTCCAACACCTATCTGAAGAAAAGCGTAGTCAAAAAACGTGTCAACATTAAAAAAAATCACAGAAAAAATTTAATTAGGTAGATCTAGAGATGTTAAACGGTCCTTAGCCCGACGGGCCGGCCCGTTTAGCCCGGAAAAAAACAGGGTTAGGGCTTTTTATTGGTAACCCGTTTAATTCAGGGCTTTTTAGGTCCGGACCGTTTAAACCGAAGCCCGTTAGGGGTAGCCCGAAACCCGCTAGGGCTGACCCGTTTAACTTGAGTTGAGCGTTGTAAATATTTGCAGCAAGTAAGTAATATACTCTTAGATTCATTGTATATTAAAATTTTGCTATCCACTTCATATATAAGTATGAGCTGTAACGGATTATATTGATTTTGAAAGATAATTATTAACAATATTCTTATTGTACTTCACACTAAAATATTTAACTCAATCAGGACGACTAATAGGAAACAAATGAGACAAAGACCTAACACATGAAACATAGTGATAGAATTTATAGTGATATAATATCGTAAAAATTTCCAAAGCGTACAAAATATAAGTAGTGAAATGGTAATTGTAAGTAATAATTCGAATATTTTTTTCTTTTGAAAAAAAAAATGCTATTTAAAAGTTTGTAGTATGTGTTCATATATGATGTGTAGTTGTATATATAGAGCAGCAAATAATAAATACCGTTGAATACAATCGTTAAATAGTCGTTGTAATTTTTTATAATTTTCTTCTTTTTATTTTTGATATTTTTTGATACATTATTATTATTATTATTATTATTATTATTATTATTATTATTATTATTATTATTATTAAAGCCCGTTTAGCCCGAAGCCCGCTAGG